CGGGGGGGGTGGGCCGGCCGCCTGCGCGCCGCTGTCGCCCCACAGAGGACGCTGGGAGTTGTAGTCTGCCAAACGGAGGTGGCCTGAGAAGGGGATGAAGTGGGGCGAGCCCTCCCGCAGAGCACGCTGGGAGACAGCCCGGGCCATCCCTCGCCCTGGTTGAGCGACAGCCCGGGCCATCCCTCGCCCTGGTTGAGCGGGTGCGGCTCTGGGTCCTAGGAGCAACGGGCGGGAAAAGAGGGAGATTCCGTGGACATTGCCGCGCAAGGCACGATGGGAAGAGAGGCGGGAGGCCGCGCTGGGCATCTCGGGAGCAAGGGCAGGGCCGAGCCTCGGCGCGGGGCATTGTGGGAGGTGGACGCCGCTCCGGGGCGGGTAGGTGAGTGGGGAGGGGCAGGAAGGGTGCACATCTGGTAGAGGGAAGAGGCACAGCTGGGTGGGACGGCGAAACTGGGAGGGCGGCAGCGGCGGGCCGGACTGGTAGGGTCTAGGGAGGGGGGCGCAGGCTGTGGTCTGCAATAAGTGGGGGTGGGAGGCGCAGCTGGATATGGGGGAGCATCTGGGATGAAGCCCATCTGAGAACCTGGGGACACGTCTAGAACGAAGACAGACATTGGAGAGGGTGATGGCTGTCGCTGGGTGGGGCACTGATGGGCTTGAGGGTGCATCTGAGGAGGAGGACCACAGTTGAATATTGGTGATTGTTCTGGGAACTGGCCATATGTGGGTCACACACCTGTAAGGTGAAGCGTTCATGAATTGATGTGAGGATGCTCAAGAGATGGGAGCATCTCTGGAAAACAGGAGCCACAGCTCGATGTGGCATTCCATCAGGGTCACATCTGGGGAAAGGATAGCAACTGCATATCAGATACACATCTGGGAAGGAGGGAGCTACAGGTGCACAAAGAATGACTGTGGGTACTGCTTCCGTGCCTGGATGTGGGGAGCTCATCTACAGAGGGAGCATCTTTACTCATGGCACAGCTAGTTATGAGTGAAGTCAAGTGTAGGCACAAAGGGGGGGAGCTCTAGGTGAATGGGGCACAGGAGGTTATTGCAAGGGGTGGGGTGCACATCTGGAAGGTAACAAGGTCTTAGCCCGATATGGGGGTCACTTAAGGAGGTGTTAACAGCTGAGCTTGAACACCTTTAGGAGAAGGGAGTCCAAACTATATCCAGAGAGGGGAAGACCAGAGTTGGAACTAAAGATCGGGATAACATCCAATTGTACCAGGGGTAAGGCTATGGAGGGAGGCTGAAGATAGGGTGAAGATTTACATCTGGAGGAAAACAGGCATATCCAGCCCCAGGCCGTACCTGGACAGAGTCACCAGCATCCGCAGGGCAGGCTGAGGATGGAGATGATGAGATACCTGCATAGGGATGAGTCTGATGCCCAGCTGTTCCCTTTCCACTCAGGTGCCCCAGGATGGAGAGGCTGGAGCCCTCACCAGGCACAACTGTGGGGCAGGAGGAGCAGGAGCTTCGGGAGCGGGCTTTCTTCTCATGGGCAGAGTTCAGCCGCTTCTTCGATGCGTGGTGCCAGCAGCGGCTGGCGCTCTTCTTCGTCAAGAGTTCCATGCACTTGGCACGCTGCCGCTGGGCCAGCACACCTCCACTCTACACGCTCATCGACGTGCTCAAGTACAGCTATGTGCGGCTTGTGTGCAAGGACGTGCGTGCGCCCAGCCGGCCTGTTGTGGGGTGTGTGAGCCTGAGCTGCAGCCCTGCTGGGTGGGGGAGGGGAGGAGAGGGGTGAGCATAGAGCCCTTTCCAAACTTGGAGATGTGGAGAGAAAGAGGTCAACGGAGAGACCCGAATACTCCTTGCTGGGTGTCAGGGAGTGAAGGAAAAATCTTACTGGGGAAGGGAGATAGAGTTGGAGGGATAAAGGCCCTCAGAATGAGAGTCAGTGTGGCCCAACTTGCAGACTTTTTATTTTATTTATTTATTTTAATTTGACCGGAGAGGGACAGAATGAGATAAAGAGGGAAAGTGAGAAAGCAAGCTGCTCAGTTCAAGACTGAAACCACGGTCAGCCATGTAGGAATCCAGCACCCTTAACCACCACACCGCTTGCTCTCCCTCCCAATTTACATACTTTAATGGAGACCCTAAAGAGGCAGAGAGTGACAGAGAGACACACTCAGGGGACAGAAAAGAAAACGTCACAGGAAATTCCAGAAACATGGAGTTACGGAGCCAGAGACACCAAAGAGAGCCAGGGAAATGGGAGAGACAGGTTTTATACACCAAGAGAACACACACTGAGAGACTGAAGTGCAGGGAAATGCTGTAGGACAGAGAAAGAGACACATCTGTTCAGTAAATACAGGGGTTTTGTGTGTAATGGGGAGAGCCATGACAGAAAAGACCCCTATCCTTCTAGACCTTTAAGGCTAGATAGGATGCCTGATGGTAGAAAGGCAAGCTCACAAGTAAGTTCCTACAGCTGTGTCGTGCTGCAAAGTGGGGCAGGCAAAGTTTCCAGAGAGCCAGGAATCACACCTAGGTGGCAGGGGTAGTGTAACTGACCTTAATTTTAAGCCAGGATTGTTTCCCGTATAGTGTTCGGTTTCCAGCATCCCTTGAAACATGGGAGAAAAGCGAGCCCACATTTCCACGTGGCAATGGCCATCCCTGTTAGGTCAGGCCTTGGTGCTCAGGTTTGCCCCAGACCCCACCACTCTCTGCTGTCTCATGCTTAGCACTGTCTTTTTGGATTTGCCTGCCTGGCCCATGTAGGTATATGAGTTTGAGACTCTTGGTTGGGGAATGATAGAGAAAAGCAGAATTTAGGCATTCAGGCTGCTTGAGACAGGCTCCACTACTTCCTGGATGAGTGTCTTTGGGCAATAGACTCTCCATCTCTGGCCTCACTTTTCTCTTCTCTGAAATTAAGTTATCACTGTACTTGTGTCGTGGGGCTGTTGTGAGGATATCGTGAGGTCATGCACAGGAAGGCCACTTCCTTGGTGCCTGGAACATGGGGCAGCCGGTTAGTCATTATGGGAGCTGAGAGCTTGCACTCTTGGGCCATTGCTCTGCTGATGATTTTCCAGTGCAGTTGAGCAAGTGAATTCACCTCTCTGGGCCTCAGTTTCCTTACCTGGATAAAGGGAGACGTAGCTGTATCGATCTCATAGGTGTTGTGAGGATTAAGGGTCCTCACAACACAGTACAGGTGATGACTCCGAGCGGCATCCGGTACCAAGTGAGCTTGCACTAACAGCCGTTCTCAGCTGAAGTGTGTAAACATTTGCTGTGAGATTACTGTTCTTGCTAGCTTATCGATGTTTATTCTAGAAACAGACTCAGAGATCTGAGAGCCACCCAGCATCAGGCAGCCGTTACCATCAGAACTTGAAGCAGCTCAGGACTAAGCTGGACTCTCTTTTTGGTAACCGAACCCAATTCGATGTAACAAATACTGAGCGCCTACTGTGTGGTCACTCTTCCGCTGGACATTTTCAACCCAGAGCTAGTCTCGGCCTTTGAGCAGCTCAGAACCTAATAGAGGTGACAGAGACCCTCCCCCAAATGCAACTAGTGGCTTCCCATAGTGAGAACAAGGTTGAGGGGAGATGAGAGGAGCATCGAAGAGGAGTTGTCAGCTCTGCCTGAGGGTGGGGTGCTGCTCAGAGGTTTCCTAGTTGAGGTGAAAAATTAGCAGAGCCTTGAAGGATTTGTTGTTCTTTTAGTAGTAAGTACAGTATTCGACTTAACAAACACGTGGTATTTTCTGTGCAGGTGCTGTCCCAAGTGCTCTCTAAATATCAGAGAGAGCCAGGGACAGGAGGAATGGGTCTGTGCAGCGGGCGAGGACAAGGCCCTGGGTTCAGGCCTGTGCATGGGTAGATGATGGGCTGGTCCCTGGATGGAGAGGGCAGGAATGGGGTTAGTTGAGCTGGTTGGGAATGATGACCCCAACCCACCATTCCTGACCGCTGCCTCCCTCCCTGGGTGTTCACAGCACATCTCCTCCAGTGTCACAGCCCAAGGACAGCCATTGGGCTGAGACTGGAGAAGTTAAAATGGGAGAGGAGGCAGGAGATGAAGCTGGAATGGTGTCAAGGGCTGGATCTGGCAGGCTGAGTTGAGAGGCTGGAGCTTTACCCTGGGGGTGCTGGGTGCCCCAGAGGGCTGTGAGCAGGATCAGCTCTGGGTGGAGAAAATGTGGAAAATGGTCTGGAAGAAGGAAACAGGGAGGAGACTGGGGCTGAGGGTCCAGGGAGCACAGGCAGGAGCTTTGTTCCCTTCCCAGAGGTTGCAGGAACTTCCTCCAAGGCCCCATCCCTCCGCCACGAGCCCTCTGGTTACACTTTCTCACTCCACCCTCTCGGCACGTCCCTGTTTAGAACAGGATCACTCAGTCTTTCCCAGCACACACCAGCCTTCATTCTTGACTCTTGAAAGGTCAAGAATAAATGCGTGAGTGGAATGCAAAGCAAAACCATGGTACCTTTTTTCTTTTATTAATTTATTTATTCTATGAAATAAAAAGAGAGGGAAATAGCACCCAACAGGGTCTTGATGTGATGATCCACCCCCACCTCAGCCAGCTCCACATCATGGGCACATGCGCCTGGGTGCCTGGCATACTCAGGGAGGTTTCCAGACTTGAACTGGGAGCCTTCCCATGTGGGATTGTCTTGCAGAGTGTCACATTTCACTGTCCTGCCACCATCTGGCCCTACGGTGATGCTCTTAGAAGAAGAAAAAATTGGAAAATAGCGACTAACATTTCTTAAATGTTTGCCATGCACCAGCCCTTTTTCTAACCACATTATATAGTTTAATTATTTTTTCTTTGTTTAAAGAAAGCCACTTTGTTTATTTTTGAGAGATTTTTGCTATAAGGCATGTGCACTCACCAGTGAGACAGAGAGAGAGACAAAGAGACAGAAAGTAGGAAATCACTCCCTGGGGGATGGCCACACCACAGTCCCTTCTCCATTCTCCTCTCAGGATTTTGGGCACGCACACACATGTGCCTGGCATAAGTTTCAAGCTGCTGGATCCAGAACTTGGACTGTAGTAGTTGCATGGGAGTCCAGTGCCTTAACCACTATGCCACCTGTTGGCCCCAATTTATTTAGGGTTTTTGTAGAGAGAGATTTTTGCTGCAGGGTGCATACACTCGCCAGAGAGAGAGAGGGGGATAAAAAGTGAGAAATCACCCCCCAGGTGGGATGACCATGCTGCAGTCCTGTCTGCTTCATTCTCTTCTCAGGATCTTGGGCATGCCTCACCAGGTCTAAACTGTGGCTGACTATCTGAGAGTCCAGTGGTATAACCATTATGCCATCTGTTGGTCCCTATTTATTTAGTCTTTAACATTTATTTATTTATCTATTTGTTGTGAGTTTCTGGCCACCTGGTCCAGGACTTGAACCATGGTTGGCCATGTGGGAGGTTAATACCTCAAGCACCTTACCACCTGCTGGCCCCTTAATTCTCTTACTTAATTTTCTCGATAAGCCTGTGAGACCAGTGCTATGATTAGTCTCAATTTCCAGAGAAATTGAGAAAACAGAGGCACATAATGGTTATGAGACTTTCCCAAAGTAATGTAACTTTTTCTTTTTTTTATCTGAGAGGGATTTTTGCTATAGGGAACATGCGTTTGTCAGAAAGAGAGAGAGATAGAAAGTGAAAAATCTACCCCTCAAGGGAGATGGCCACACCGCAATCCCTTCTCCTCCAGTCTCCTCTTGGGATTTTGGGCATGCACACACACATGCCCAGCATGAGTTTCAAGCCTCCAGGTCCAGGACTGGAACCATGGTCAGCTATGTGGGAGTCCAGCAATGTAACCATTATGCCATCTGCTGGTCCCAGTAACATAACCCTTAAGAGGAAAAACCAGGATATGGACTTACAGAATCTGATTGCAAAGCCCATGCTTCTAGTTACTACCCTGTCTCCTCCCTCTCCTTCCTCTTTTCTTCCCTCCTCTTTATTTCAATCATGGATTATCAACAGGAGAATAGAATGTGCTAGCATCCTGAAGATTTGTTGGTTCTAGGTACCAGTCTGTTTTCCCAGTTGTCGGAGAGGTTTGTTTGAGCATCTACTGTGTGTGAGTTGTATGTGTTTTGGGTGCTGGCATTTCAGTGGGGCACATACGTTACCGATGGCCTCAGTCACATTGCTTCCGTGTGATGGAATCTGCCCTCATAGATTCCTTCCCTGCAAATGATCAGGGAAGGCTTCCTGGAGGAGGCAATGCTGGCTCTGAGGAGTAGGAATTGACTAGATGAAAAGAAGGGAAAAGAATGTTTCATGAAAGAGGAAAGAACGTATAGTAGGAGAGTGGCCATGGAAATGGAAAAAAGGAGGTGTTTGGAGAGGTTTTGCAGGCTTGATAGGCAGGCTCGGTGATAGATGGTTTTGATGGAGTTGGAGGGGGGTATCCCAGGGAAGTGTGCCAGGGTGTTCCATAGTGGAATTCAGTCATTCACCCCTCATGTATTCACTGAGCACCCCCAGGGGTCAGGTACTGTTCTGGTGCTGGGTGTACAGCGAGGGACAAAATGGACAAAATCCCTGTTCATGTGGAGTTTATATGTAGAGGGGTTGGCATTATTCTCCAGGTCGATGGAGCAGAATTGGGAACTGGTGTGTTGAGGCATCACGAGATGTTATGTGAGATACTGGGATCCCATGGGGTTGCACTATTCTCTGGCAAGATGAACGACTTCACAGAAGAGGTGGCCTTTCCTTTTTCTTTATTTATTTTTTTAGAGAGATTTTTGCAGTAGGACGCATACACTCGTTTGAGAGACAGAGAAACAAAGTGAGAAGACACCCTCTCAGGGGGGATGGCCATACGGCAATCCCTTTTCCATCCTCCTCTCAGGATTTTGGGCATACACGCTCATGCACCTGGTGTGCGTTTTAAGCCATCACATCTGGGACTCGAACCGAAGTCAACTCCGTGGGAGTCCAGCAACGTAACTATTACACCATCTGTTAGTCTCGGTGGCCTTTCCTGAGTGAGGATGTGTTCTAGAGGCTAAAAGAGGCCAGACCAGAGTTTCACAAGCACCCATGAATAACTGGGAAAATGTATCAATTAGAATCCTATGAACTTGCTGTTTTGGTAGATTAAAAATGGCAATGCAGGTACTGTTCTGGTGCTGGGTGTACAGCGAGGGACAAAATGGACAAAATCCCTGTTCATGTGGAGTTTATATGTAGAGGGGTTGGCATTATTCTCCAGGTCGATGGAGCAGAATTGGGAACTGGTGTGTTGAGGCATCACGAGATGTTATGTGAGATACTGGGATCCCATGGGGTTGCACTATTCTCTGGCAAGATGAACGACTTCACAGAAGAGGTGGCCTTTCCTTTTTCTTTATTTATTTTTTTAGAGAGATTTTTGCAGTAGGACGCATACACTCGTTTGAGAGACAGAGAAACAAAGTGAGAAGACACCCTCTCAGGGGGGATGGCCATACGGCAATCCCTTTTCCATCCTCCTCTCAGGATTTTGGGCATACACGCTCATGCACCTGGTGTGCGTTTTAAGCCATCACATCTGGGACTCGAACCGAAGTCAACTCCGTGGGAGTCCAGCAACGTAACTATTACACCATCTGTTAGTCTCGGTGGCCTTTCCTGAGTGAGGATGTGTTCTAGAGGCTAAAAGAGGCCAGACCAGAGTTTCACAAGCACCCATGAATAACTGGGAAAATGTATCAATTAGAATCCTATGAACTTGCTGTTTTGGTAGATTAAAAATGGCAATGCATGTTGGCTTTCTTTTGCTTCTACCTGATGCCACCATGGTAGCTGCACTTGGTATTTTACTGCTAATGATTTGTACATTTGGCAGTTTTCTAAATTTGCAGTATTTTTGTTACTTTACATAAGACAAAAAGCCTCAGGTGCTTTATTTAGATTTTAAAAGTCTTGTGCCTGAAGGAGAAAAAGGATGTGTCGAGGAACCCCTCTGGTTTAACAGAAAATTCTTTATACTGGTAGTTCCCAGGGTGGACCTGGGAGAGAACCACCTTCTCACAGTCCATTTGGGAAAAAAAAAATGTGGGAACATTTTTGGGGTACACTTAACTGGCATTTTCTGCTTGAGAGCCAAGGCTTCTTAACTACACGGCAGACCCTGGGTAGTTCATGTTACAAGGGCCAGCAAACTAGGATACCTATGGGTTAAATATAACCTGTAGCCCATTTTTATAAGTAAAATTTTACTGTAGCACAGCATGTTCATTCATCCACATACTGTTATGACTGTAGCATAGCAATGGAAAATATCTACTCTCTGGCGTTTTTCAGGAAAGGTTTGAAACTCCCTACTCTATCAACAGAAAACCTACTGAAAAATGTTGATTGCACTCTCATGGAGAAACTGAATCTCTGTTCAGAAAGCAGATGCCAATTTAAATATTAGTATTAGGGAAATATACTCTGATTTTTTTTAATCCTATTCATTTCATTTTTTATAGTGCTGGTTTCAACTCCCTAAATTGATTTCCTGTAATGGGCTATGCCCTGCAGTTTGAGAACTATTGTTCTGGACAAACTGACTCACACACAGAGAGAAATGCATAAGAGAGTGTTCATTGAAGCCGTGTGTGTTGGACATGCTGTAAGAGTTGGCAGACTCATGGAGTGAGAAACCAAATAGTTTTGAAAATCTGATAGCAAAAAAATCAAACTGCAAAACAGTGTGTTGCTTGTATGAAGGGATTTTGAAAAGTCTATGGGGAAAATGGAATTAAAATACAACTTCATTCTGGTGTAAGAAAAGTTTTGCATAGTTTTTTTTATAATGTGTATTTTCCATGACTTTTTGAAGATAGCTGGTATTAGTCTCCTGTTGCTATTGTAACAAATTGCCACATGTATAGTGGCTTAAAATAATGTAAATGTATTGCCTTACAGTTCTGGGGCTCAGGAGGCCAGTATGAATGTTACACTGGGCTAAAACAAAGATATTGCTGAGGCTGCATTCCTTCTGAAGTTCTAGGCAGATCTACTTCCTTAATTTTTCCCTTCTAGTACTCATCTGCCTTTGGTTCAAGGCCTCCTCTTCCATTTACAAAGCCAGTAGAGTATCATCTTTCATTCTCTCTCTTTCACTCTCTCTTATTTTCTCTGCCTTACTTTCCTTTTTCCCTTATAAGGACCCTTGTAATGATATTGGACTTACCAGATAATCCAGAAGCTCCCCATTTTAAATCTTTAATCGCACTTGCAAAGTCTCTTTTGCCATGTAAGGGTACGTGTACACAGTTCCAGTGACTAGAATGTGGATTTTTGAGGAAGTAATTATTCTTCCTACCACAAAATTAGAAAACAGGTCTTCTAAAGTAAACTTTTAAAAAGTGTAACACATCCACAAAAGTGCACACATTATGCATGTATAACATGTTGAATTTTCCCAAAATGAAATGCACATGTAACCAGCACCTGGAACAAGAAACAATATGTCCAATCCTAGTAAACTCTTTGGGTTACATCTTAGTGTTAGCCACTCAAGGGTAACCACTATCTGGTCTCTTAACAGCAGTGGTTAACTTTGGCTGTTGAACATTATAGGAAGAGACTTCAAAAAGTTTATAGAAAAATGGAATTAAAGTATGAGTTTATTTTGGTGCAAAAATTTGAAATCTATGCATAGTTTTATCATAATATGCATGTTTCGTGGACCTTTTGAAGATTCTTCATATATACAAGAATCATATTGTGGGTTTTCTTCTGTGTCTGACTTTGTTCACATAGCAAGTTTATGAGATTATCCATCTTGGAGACTGGTATGTTCATTCTGAGTATTAATTAGTACCTTATTGTCTAACTATATCATAGCTTATTTCTTGCTCTGTTTTTGAATATTAGGGTTTGAAGTATTTGGCTAAGCTGTATTGTACTGCTCTTGACATTCTAGAACATGTCTTTAGGTGCCAATAGGCAGGCATTATCTTGGTTGAACTTCTGGGTCACAGGAGAGACATAGGATCAGCTTTAGTATATACTTCCACACCGTTTTCCAGCTTGATCATGCCATTTTACAGTCCCATCAGTGATGTGAGAGTTCCAGTGGCTCCACATCCTCATCAACACTTGATGTTATCAGTCTTCCTTATTTTGTTATTCTGGTGGTGTGCAGCAATAGTTCATTATTTCTTTGATGACTGATGAATTAGAGCACTTCTTTGCTATACAAAGTTTAATTGTCAACATAGAAACATACCCACCATTTCTTATGGGTGAATAAAAACATGAGCAGGAATCTGAATACACAATTCCGGTAGAGGGTACCTCTAGGAACACAGAGAGGGAGGGGAACTTGTTAGGGCAAGATTCATAGAGAGCCTCAGTTTGTGCTGTTATTGTTAGGCCAGAAACAGGTATAAAACTATCTTCAATGTTTTATTTCTGAAACTTTTTGAAGGTCAATACAATAAAACTTCCATTTGCTTTTGAGAGAGCTGGGGGTGGTGAGTACAAAATGTTAAATGCCTAGTGTTCACTGTGTTCCATGTACTGGTTTTAAGTGCTTTATTTTATGGATGATTTTCATCCCTCAACAATCATAGAAAGAAGGTATGATGATTATGACCTCTCTTTTAATATATGGGGAAACTGAGGCACAGAGACTTGAAGTGACTTGCCCACAGTCACACAGCTGGCATATCCTTAAGGCCCTTTACTCTTCTCTATGTTTGAAACAATTCTTAATTGGAAAAGGAGAGAGGGAAAAGAGGGCAGCGTCGTGAAGTGACAGCAGCGGTGGTCATTCCTCCTGCAGGCCCCCTCAGCCTGGCTGCCCCGCCTTCATCATCGTCAAGCTGAGCCCGCTGCGGGACCGCCTCGTGGTGACTGAGTGCCAGCTGACCCACTCGCACCCAGCCTGCCCGCTTGAGTTCGCCTACTACTTCCGCCCAGGCCACCTGCTGGCTAACGCCTGCCTACCCGTGCGCACCACCAACAAGATCTCCAAGCAGTTTGTGGCCCCGGCTGATGTGCGCCGCCTGCTCTCCTACTGCAAGGGCCGCGACCATGGAGTCCTTGATGCCCTGCATGTGCTCGAGGGGCTTTTCCGCACCGACCCCGAGGCCAAGGTGGGGTCTCTGGAGACGCAGGATGGGGGCGGGGGAAAGCCACTCCAAGGATTCATGGGTGCTCATTCATGCATCTGCCATCCTTCATCCATCCATCCTTCCATCCATCCATCCATCCATCCATCCATCCATCCATCCATACGTCCATCCATCCATCCACTCACCCATCCCCCCCGTCCATCCAGGTACCTGCTGAGGCATTGGGAATGCAGCTGCGAGCATTACAGACCCTGAGAACAGCACTGCCCAGCAGAACTTCCTGCCTCACAGAATGGTTCTGTGAGTGTGCACTACCCTCTAGGGTAGCCCCCAGTCACACATTTCTATTCAGCACTTGAAATGTGGCCAATTAGCCAGAGGAACTGAGTATCTTTTATTTTAATTCCTCAAAAGTTAAATAGCAGCTTATGCCTGTTGTCTATTTTGTAGAGATCCTTGTTAGTGGATGAAACTAGCTATGGCTGGGTAACCAAATAGAATCTGGTCTAATCAATAGGGTTGGGTGCTAGGAAGGAGAGGAATGATGGAATATGCCAATTAATTTCTTTTTAAAGTTGTACTACACAGATAGAAATTGCACAAATGATAATTACATAGTATGGCAAATTCACAAGGTGAAAGCATGCAGATCAAGAAAAGGAATAGTCCTACATTATACAATGTAATGGAGTAATGAGTATTATGAAGGAGAGTAAGAGGAGGGCTGGGAGCGGGGCAGTTGTAAGGGCGCTATTTTCATTTGTGGGATCCAAGAAGGCCTCAAGGGAAGTGATGGTGAAAGAGAGAAGAGAGAATGGAGGGAAAGGCCCCCATTCTGTGTTCAGAAGGAAACAACTTCCAGGCAGAGGGAACAGCCAGTGCAAAGCCCCAGAGGCTGGAGCAAGCATGGTGTGCTGGTGCAACCGTGAGGATGCTGCTCATTCATGAGGAATCTTTCTGCTGCTTTGATCCAACTTCGGATTTGGGATAGACTTGAAGTTTGAGGGGGGAGAAAAAGAAAAATGGAGGGAGAGCTGGTTCTTTCACCTGGCTGTGCCTTTGTCTTTCATGCATGGGAAAAGTTCCAACTCGGGGTGAAACTGAGATATGAACTCATTCTCTGGATTCAGTTCTATACCTCTTGCCCCACCCCTATCCTATGCCTCTAACCAGCCCCGATTTGACACACCAATCAAAGCTCAGCCCTCTGTCCACACGTAATATTGGTGTGATTTTAGTTAGCATTTATCAGGCACTTACTATGTGCCAGGCACTGCCCAAGGGACTTCACATACTGTAATTCATTGAAATCTCCCCAGAGCCCTATGAGGAAGGAGCCCACCATGCTCATCCCCACTTTACAAACAAGGATATGGAAGCCAGAGAGGTTCAGTAACTGGCCCAAGATAATACAGCTCTGGATCCATACAGTCTGGATCCAGGCCCTGGTCTTCACCACTGTGCTGTTCCATAGTTTGGAAATGAGGCTCAGGCCCATTTCCACCAATTCCAGCATCTGGAAAGTTGAGGATCCCACCCACGTTTGTGGGTCTGTAACATGGGGGCACACACACACACTTAGGCATTCCTTTGTCCATTGGTCTTCTTGGAGCATATAACGGTTAGCTACTCCACTATTAAATATTGGGTTGTTGGAAAAGTCATGATGTATTTTTTTCTATGCAAAAATTCACATGACTTTTTTTTTATTTAGATTTTTGCTATAGAGCATGTGCACTTGCTGGAGAAACAGACAGAAAGTGAGAAATTACTTCCCAGTGGGGATGGCCATGCCGCAGTCCCTTTACCTCCATTCTCCCCTTGGGATTTTAGGCACACATGCTCATGCACCTGGTGTGAATTTTAAGTCACCGCGTCTAGGACTTGAACTGCAGTCAACTACGTGGGAGTCCAGTGACATAACCATTCTGCCGTCTGTCCCACACATGACTTTTCCGACAACCCAATAAATAAGCCTCACTGCTCTTCCCTGTAAATACCTTTTGTAAGGACACAGACCCTGGGCTCAAGCTGCTTGGGCTCAAATCCCAGCTCTGCCAATTATTGCCTGGTGATCTCAGGCAAGCAGCTGAAGCTCTCTGTGCCTCAGTTTCCCCATTCAAAAACCATAGGATGAAAAATAATAGTATCTACTGATGTTATAATACATAATACGATAATAGTTATGATAGTAATAGTATATATTAACATGAGGTCATAAAGATTGAAAGTAAGAGCTTCAGGGGCCAGCAGGTGGTGAGGTGGCTAAGGTGCTGGACATTCCCACATGGCTGACCACGGTTCAAGTCCTGGACCTGGTGGCTTGCTTTCTCACTTTCCTTCTCTCTGTTTGTCTGTCTTTCTCTGGTCAAATTAAAATAAATGAATAATAAATAAAATTAAATAAATAATTCTTTAAAAAAAAAAAAAGAAAAGAAAAGTGCTTCAAACTGTACCTAGCCTAGAGAAGCTTTTTCATGTATGTTGTTGGTTTTCTTCTGTACTGTATACATCTGAAATCATGCTCTGTTTATTCTGACTCTCTGGCATGTCCCATTTCTTTTCGTCATTTGTTGGACCAGAAGCCAGCATTCCATGTTTGTCCAGTAAATCTTTGGTAGGAAAATGTACTTATTTACTTACCCTTCTTTCATCAAATGTCATCACACCCTGTAAATGTCATCCACATGTTCCCCCCCCCCTTTTTTTTTAACCATTTCTAATGGCTGGATCCCAACCCCATTGTCTGCTAGCTCCATGATCTAGGGCAAGTCACTTCCCTGATGTAGTCAGGTCCCTAAGACCACCCTCAGGTCCATGGATTCACTGAGAGGACTATAGAACTTAAAAAAAAATAATAATGTTATGCTTATAGTTCCAGTGTATTTCAGCAAATGGATAGAGATTAAAATCAGGAAAGGGAAGAGACACAGGTGGAGAGATCGGTTGGGAGCTTCTGGCTGTCCTCTCTCAGAGGAGTCCTGTGGACAGAGCTTAGTTCTCCCAGCAATGATGCGTGACAACACACACAGAATATTGCCAACCAGGGCAGTGCACCCGAGCCTTGAGGCCTGTAATTTTTACTGGGTGTTGACCACATAGACATGACTGCTACCCTGTTTGACCAACCTTAGTCTCCAGCCCTTTCAGAGGTCAAGCTGATACTCCATGACCTAGGCACTGTTGCACATACTTCACACAGATTAACCCATGTACTCCTCATAACAGTGGGCAGAGGTACCTGCAGTTATATTCTCTGTCTTTGCAGATGGGAACAACTGAGGCACAGAGAAGGTCAGACAGTTTCCCCAAGCCACATAACTGGTGCATAAATTCACACTGCTAGTAAGTAGAAGAACCTGGATTTGGATCCTTCCAATCTGGCTCTGGGGTCAGGAACTATTAACTCATTAGTCCCTGTGTTTCCTAATGGAAAGCAACATTGATTGGGCTATTGCCTATGAGACCCAGCTGGTCTGACTGGGTAGGACTTGGGCCTGCTTCAGTTCCTGTCTCTCTTCAAGGCCTAGCACAGTATCAGGCACTCAGTGAGTGTTCAATGAATACTGCTTAGCAAACAGGTGTATATATAAACAGAAAAACATATATACCCCCGTCTAGAAAGAAAAGTAAGATTAGGAATTGGAGTTTAGCACTTTCAGAGTGGAAAGTAGCCTCAGATCACCTCTGGAAAAGTCTGAAGGCAAATACATTACTATGTCTTTACTTTTCTCTTTTTTTTTTTTTTTTTGGAGAGATTTTTGCTGTAGGGCGCGTGTGCTCGCCAGACAGACAGAGACGGAGAGACAGAAAGCAAGAAATTCCCTCCCAGGGGGGATGGGCATGCCGCAATCCCTTCTTCTCCATTCTCCTCTCGGGATCTTGGGCACACACGCACACACGCCCAGGGTGAGTTTTAAGCCACCGGGTCCGGGACGCGAACCGCGGTCAACTACGTGGGAATCCAGCGACATAGCCATTACGCTAACTGCTGGTTCCCTCTTTACTTTTCTCTTCTTCGTGACTCCTGAGAAGAAAAAGATACAACTATGGAAGTGGGTACTTAAAAAAGCACACACACACACACACACACACACACAAAACACATTTACCTGTTATGAGTCTTCTATGTAAGTTAGTTTCTAGACCAGTCATGTGCTCTAGAACTTTCTGTCATGATGGCAGTGTTCCAGGTCGCACTGTCCAGTAGAATAGCCACAGGCCTTGTGTGGCTATTGAGCATGTAAAATACAGCTAGTGTGAGGACCAGCAGATGGCATGGTGGTTAAGGTGCTGGACTCCCACATGGTAGTCTGCAATTCAAGTCCTAGACCCGGCAGCTTGAAACTCACACCAGGTGTGTGTGCTTGTGTGCACAAAAATCCCAAGAGGAGAATGGAGGAGTAGGGAATGAGGCATGAGCATCCCCTTGGGGGGTGATTTCTCACTTTCCTTCTCATTGTCTCTGTCTCTCTCCATTGAGCACATGCACCCTATGACAAAAAGCTTAAAAAAAAATAAGGCTAGGGTGACTGGGGAACTGAATTGTCAGATACTTTAAAATGGTAATCAACCCAAATGTAAACATTTACATGTAGCCAGTAGCTATGGTGTTGGGCAGAGCAAGTCTAGATCAAACATCTGCTGAGATAAGTTTGATTATATGTAATTGCATAAAAATTAACAGTGGTTGAAAAAATAATAGCAATGTTGTAATTAATGTGGCAGTGGGACTTTTTCATAAAGTACATTGAATTCTAATACTATTTAAGATGCTGGGACCAGCAGTTAGCGTAATGGCTATGTTGCTGGACTCCCACGTAGTCGACCGTTGTTCAAGTCCCGGACCTGGTGGCTTAAACTCATGATGGGTGCGTGTGCGTGTGTGCCCAGGATCCTGAGAGGAGAACAGAGGAAAAGGGATTGCGGCATGGCCATCCCCCCTGGGGGATGATTTCTCGCTTGCTGTCTCTCTGTCTCTCTCTGTCTGTCTGGCGAGTGCACGTGCCCTATAGCAAAAACCTCTCAAAAAAAAAAAAAAGATGCTGAATGTATGATTTCGGAGTTAGGAAAGCAATTTTTTCCTTGTTCTCTAGACCTCTTCTTGACCTTTTTGTCATAGTTTTTTCTTTTTCTTTTTTTCCTTTCGTATTGAAAGCTGAGCACAAACGGTGCTTCTTAAATAGTCTTGTTGGAAGAGGTTCGATTATGGCAAAGCAATTTGTGGAGAGGTCTGTGGTTAAATTGGACTCAGGTCCTAGTTCTGCAGCTGAAGTTCAACACTTACAGGGAATGACTGAGGGAGCCCTAGCCACTGGCTCATAGCTACTAAATCTACCCACCCTGTCAGGGGGCTTCATGCGGAGTCGGGCAAGAGGAATAAACGATGAGGTCAAAGGGCCTGATCACTGAGGGCCTAGAGCTGTGATGTGGACTCCTGGCTTTACTCAAAGTATAATGGGGAGTCCTGGGAATGGGGGAAAGATATTCAAGTAGAGGAGGGGGTGGTCTGAATGGATGTTTTTTTTTTTTGGTTTATAGGGCATGTGCATTTGCCTGAGACAGGTGTCGGGGTGTGTGTGTGTGTGTGTGTGTGTGTGTGAGAAAACACTCCCAGCGGGGCTGGCCTCACAGCAATCCATTCTTCCCCATTCTCCTCTTGGGATTTAGGCATACCTACCCAGTGTGTCTTTCAAGTCACTGGGTCTGGACTCAAACTGTGTAGTCAGCCATGTGAGATCCAGCCTCCACACCACCAGCTGACCCGCCCCCTGAGTGGAGTTTTGAAAATGCCCCTCTAGCAGTTGAATGGGAAACAGACAAGGGGATGAGGGCAGAGACAGGGCGTCCAGTGAGGAGGTGGCTACAACCCAGATGAGAGATGGTGGGTGGTGTCTCTGACCAAGGTGGGGAGAAGAGGTCAGCTTGTAGATTTATTTCAAGGGACATATCTAGGAGTTGGAGATGGGTTGCATGCAGAGGGTGGGGAAGGAAAAGCCAAGCATTAGCTCTCTGTGTTGGGGCCTGAACTGTGGAGTGGATGGTGGAGCCATTGACCAAGATGCAGCTGACTAAGGAGGAGTAGGTAGGGGGTGGGTTGTTGAGACTCAAACAGGACTATGGGCTGTTAGTCCAAAGGGTTTATGAGCCATCCAAGGGGCCGGATCACTGCAGAATCAGTTGAGGAGGTAAGCCTGGAACCTAGAGATACAGAACTGGGAGTTACCAGCCGAGAAATGGCGAGGGCTATGCGACAGGATGAGATCACCTTGGGAGGGCATAGATATAGGGCAAGAGGAGAGCAGAGCGCCCGGGCTAGGCTTTGCACAGGACAACAGAGAGTGCTAAGTAGGGCAAGCAAAGGAGAGCATAGGAGGAAGGAGGACAATCAGGAGTTTGTGTGACAGAGGCCAGCAGAGACCCTGTTTAGGAAGGGGGCAGGGTCATTACACTGACTACTGCTGAGAGAACGAGTAGCTGGGATCTGATGTGTCAGGTGTCGACCCACGCGTCAGACATGGATGATATTGTAGCCACACTGTGACCCTCTTCAAAAGACATCCCCATTTGCCAGCTAGGGAAACTGAGGCTGACTCACTTCCCTGAGGTCCCACAGCAAATAAGAGGGTAAATCTAGGATTCAAACCCAGATTCTGGTCCCTGAACCTGCACCGGAGAGGTGTGGCCTGTGGGTGTCACCGCACACTCTGGCACTGGGCAGTTCACTCACTCACTCGCTCAGTATAGATTCAGCTCTGGTTCTGGACCACATGTGGTTTAAAACCTCAGGAAGACAAAAGGGGAACACCATCCCTGTCATCCCCATCCTTGTGGGGCTTCCATCTTAGGACAAACAGGCAATGGGCAAAGCAAATAAAGATTGGTCGTGGTAGACAGTGAGCACCACGGCCGGTAGGGCTGGGGAGAGACAGGACTGATACTCAGCTGGGAGAGTCAGAGAAGACCTTTATGACAAGGTGGGTTTTGACAGAGAAGATAATTAGAGAAGCAACAGTTGGAGAGCACTTAGAATTTATCACTTAATGAGTACTAATAGCAATGCCGTGTGTGCGAGGCAGTATGCTAGATGTTTTCATGCATTTCATCCTTCCAGCCACAGATATATTGAGACAAGTTAGGGAAGTTGGTTGAAGCCACAGCGGCCAGGAAGTGGTGGCTCCAGGACCTCAGCCCAGGCATTCGAAGCTGTACTATTTATTTATTTATTTATTTATTTATTTATTTATTTGAGAGAAATTTTCGCTATAGGGCGTGTGCCTTCGCCAGACAGAGAGAGACATAGAGACGGAAAGCGAAAAATCACCCCCCAGAGGGGATGGTCACGCCACAATCCCTTCTCCTTCATTCTCCTCTCGGGATCTTGGGCACGCACGCACACACGCCTGGCGTGAGTTTTAAGCCACCGGGTCCGGGACGCGAACCGCGGTCGACTACGTGGGAGCCCAGCGACATAGCCATTACGCTAACTGCTGGTTCCCGGAGGCTGTACTTTTGACCCCGTCCTGCCTCTCCGTGCATAGAAGAATGAGTATTCAGCTCCTAGAAGAGGAAATTAAGGAATGTGCACATTAAGGAGGAAACTGAGGCACCGAGAGGTTGACTCACACGGTTTGGAAGCAGTGGAGGTGGGACTCAAGCTGTGCCTCTGAAATCTTTGCTTTTTACCTCTCCACCAGTGGTCATCAAACTTGAGCATGCATGGGAATCCTTGGAGGGCTTATCAAAACAGATTGCCAGGCCCCATCCCGGAGGGTCAGACTCAGCAGCTGTGGGGTGGGCGGGATGGAGAACATGCGTTTCTGGCAAGGTCCAAGCACTGACACCAGTGCAGCTGGCACTTCTGAAGCATCGTTCTAGGCTGCTTCCCAGTAAAGAATGAATACCCAGTTCCCAGCGGGGCCGACTGAGGCTTCTGTGTGTGTGAAAGTCACACTAACGGATGGTTGTACCTACATCTCAAGTCCAGACAACATGGCTCCAGTATGTGGTTTTGTTTTGTTTTAGAGATTTTTGGGCATATGCGCTCCTAGGAGAGAGAGAGAGACAAAGAGACAGAAAGTGAGAAATCATCGGTGTGTGTGGGGGGGGCGGGGGGGGCGTTTGAACACGCCTCAATTCCTTCCTCTCCACTTATTTCTGGGAATCCTGGGCATAGATGCAGGCCCCCAGCATGAGTTTTAAGTAGCCATCTGGGACTGGAACTGCGATGGACCAGCAGGTGGTGTAGTGGCAGGGGCACTGGAAACCCACAGAGTCCATTTTTTTTTTGTTGTTGTTTGTTTGTTTGTTTGATTTTCTTTTTTTTTTTTTAGAGATTTTTTGCTGTAGGGTAAATGCCCTCGCTGGAGAAACGGAGAGAAAACGAGAAATTATTGGGGGAATGAGAATGGCCACACCTCACCTCAATCTCTTATCCTCCATTCTTCTCTCAGGATTTTGGGCACACACGCACACTCACCCCGCCTGTTTTAAGACACTGGGTCTGGGGCTCGAACCACAGTCGACTAGTGGGAGTCCAGTAACGTAACCATTATGCCATCTGCTGGTCCCCAGACTCTGTGTTTTTAACCATTCTCTTTCACTGCCTTCTGCCTGTCAAAAGAATAAAATGCCTGAAGGAATGGATTCCTATTTTCCCAGGGAAGGACATGGCGGACTGGGGAACTGGGCGCGGAAACCCTGCGTCCCCTGACCTCTTTCGCT